TCAGTCTCCATCACCAACGACACAGGGAGGAAGCCTTAGTTCCTCAAAAAGACTTTCCTCTCAGAGACCCCATCCAGGTGTCTGTGGGACCCACTAGGAAAGATTCAGGGAGAACAAAAGGTGAGAATGTTAACATGAGGTCACCCAAGAACCAGTTCAACCAAACCCAGTTCCTGTGTTCATTGGGTTGACTAATTCATAAGTAATTTATTAATATGCTAAAATGAAAAATATCTGTTAGAATCAGGAATGCAGGAATAATTATTGACAATTTTTAAAAATTATGGCAATGGAAGTACACATTGTAAGTCTTTAGAGGGTACAGGAGGAATAAAATGGTACAAGAGAAGTTGGATCAAATTCAAATTTTGCAGGTAAGGGAGGAGAAAAGTTCAGTAAGTTGGAGAGTCAGCAGGATTTTAACTTTTTAAATATTGGGTATTTTTCAATGGGTTTTCTGCCATTAAAAAGATCCAGGCAATAAATTACTTCAAAATACTACTTTTAAAGTTCATGAGTGATAGTTTTGCAAACTTTTCTCAGGCTGAATAACTGTGTTTGTATAAAAAATTTTATTTGACAGATGAGAAAGAGTAAAACAGCAAAGTTTAATTTGCAATTATTTCCTTACTCCTGAGATTGAATATATGTGTAGGATTTTTAGACATTACCTTTCCCTATTTCAGACAGTCTGTGAAAGATATTTGCTCTTGTATAATGGATATGCAGTCTTTATTCTTTTTGATGCATTCTTTCAATGTGAAAATTGGACTTTTTCAACAATTCTGCCACTTGCCATTTAGGTTTTATTTTTTAAATAAATAGATGTATTTGGGGAGAATGTGTGAAAATTTACTAATATTTTGTGGTCAGATTTTTTAGTTGGTCATATTGTGTGCACCACCCCAACCACTTTTTAGATCATTTCAAATGCTCCCTATATCCTTAGTGGCAATAAATCTGTTGCACTCTCATCTTATTTTGCATGTGTATTTTTATTTTTGAAGAATTTTAATTGGCCATAATTGTACACATTAAAGGGTACAATGTGATCATTTGACACATATATACTATCCTGGAACATTTATGATTTCTTTGTATTGAGAGTATTAATCTCTTCTCCTAGTTCTTCATAAAATGCATGACTAATTTTTGTATACTATACAATTTTATCCTACTATGCTTTGAAACACTAGAAATTATTCCTCCTGTTTAACTGCACTTTGGAACCCATTATCCACCCTTGCTCTAACTCTCCTCTCTATTCCCATTCCCACTCTCTAGTGAACACTACATTACTCTCTACTTCTGTGAGATTAGCTATTTCAGCTTCCATGTCTGAGAGAAAACATGCAGTCCTGAATTTCTGTGCCTGAATTATTTTACTTAACTTAATGTCCTTCAGTTCTATCTGTGTTGCTTCGTGACAGAATTTCATTTTTTGTTTCATTTAATATGGATGCTTTTGATCCTCTATATTTAACCTGTGGTTTATTTACTCTGGCATTATTTTATTGATATACTCTTCATTTAAAAAATTTGTTTCCACATAAATGCATAGCTTTATGAAACTGCAAAAGTAAACTGCAGGTATATTCTTTTCTTAACTTAATCTTACATTATAATGGAAAAGGCAAAGCACAATTAAGTAAATGCACATGCAACATATCTTAATACAGGAAAATCAAAGAAACAGGATAGGTTGTCATGTCATGGGTGTGATTTCTCACAATACGGTGTGGGCAGGACTTTGCATGTTGAATGAGGAACAGAAAGGACCAATGTGTACCCATAGAATTTGTGAAAAAAGAAATAAAAATTCAAGGATAGTGAAAAGATACCACAAACAGAAGTGAGAACAGGGCTTTCTCTGTCTTCTAAACTCCAAACATAAATAAATGTTTAAAGAAGTGAGCATCTAATTATCTTGACTTAGGTATCATAATGTTTTCAGCATGTCTCAAAAACATGTTCATTTATCTTATGTCAATTAAAAATTAAAAAATAAAAAGACGTGCTCAAACAAATATTGAGTGAATACAGGAATAATAATCACATCTGAGACATGATGTGGATGCTATAGTGAAGAAGGAGGATCAAGAAAAGTTTATGCAATGCACAGGCTCTAGATCTGGATATGACTCCAGCACCTGCTGGTTACCAGTTCTCTCAACGACTTGGCTCCTTAGTTGAACTCCTCATTTATGTTGCTTTTTTGCATTAGCAGTAATTTGCCTCCTTCTGAAAATATATTTGCCTTTCATTTAGTGGATTCTAACCTTTTGAATGTGTCCCTGAATAAGAAAAATCTTTTACACTGTGATTCAACATGCATGCACACAAAAATACATGTGCACCCCTAACACACAATTTTATAATCCTATTACTGTGTATGATGAGTTCTAGTATTTTCTTTTGGGTTTTATTTATTGTCTTCTATTGAATTCATAACAAATAACATTCTATCTTCCTAATGGGTCCAGATCATGGAATATGGAATATATCCTCCATGTCTATGTTGTCATGTCCTTGCTTCTTTGCTTTCACTTATTATCAAACATTTCTGTAACTATACATTTTCTTTTAAGTTGATACAACATGTGTTTGTCTAGCCCCCCTTCCTAACTAATCTAGCTGGGAGTAGTGAAGAGTATAGAAATATCTACATGCATCATGATACAATTAGGGGCAAGAAATACATGGAATTAAGTAAAATCCACACATTTATTATCTCTAGGTGTCAGTTAAATGCATATAGGAAGTGTTGCTCATCTATGGAAATGGTAAATCCTTGAAGAAGGGCCTAAAGGGTCTCTTAAAATAGTAAGTAAAGGTTTTCAGATGGAGAAGAGGTAAAAATTCCAAATAGATCAGTAGTTGAAAATCCCAACAAAGAAAAATGAGTGAGTATTGAAGCTTATGTTGTGGTGAAGCTGAAAGTCAAGTTCAAATTAAAGAGATCAGTATAAGTGGAGGAAAGGTTCATGAGGGTATAGCCAGTCGGGTGGTTATAGAAATTCAAGCCTCATGTGTGAAGCCAAAGATTCTATAAATTCTCCTAACTAGGGACTGAGGGACTTGGAAGGAATAAGGACATTTGAGAGGTAGAAAGAAAAGTTTACCACTTCTCTCACTGGTAATAACTGTTCATTTCTTGACAAAAAGGAACCATGCTAAAGATCTGTGTGCATTGCCTGAGTCTGTGAATAATTTTATGAGGATGGGTATTGCTATTGCCAGTATATAAATGAGGACACTACTATTTAGCATAGTTCATTTGGGTCTTTAACTTCAAACAACTGATATATTTGGTAAGGCTAAGATTTAAAACCTGGTTTTCTAATTACATATGTTATGAATTTAATATTACTTATCAAAGACTTTAAAATTTCTTCTTTAAAATTTCTCTACTTCTGTTGTACTTTGAGTATCTTTTGTGAATTTTGAGTATTTTTTTTGTTCATGTTTATTTGTGGTTGTTCAATCTATAAGTCCTGTCACTGTATAAGCATCTCGTCTTGGTCAGATAGCTTGGATCTTTGGTGCTTCATTACTCATTCTTCTCAGGTGGGAGATAAAACCAGGGTTGGGATGCCTGCAAAGTCAAGGAAGGTCCCTCTTCATCACTATCTCTCAGGAGTCATTGAATGCATTATTTGTCATCTCTGTCAATTTTAGCCCTATCTCTGTTGATTGAGCAGATGTCTTATTTTATGTTTCTCTAAATAAAGGGCACAAAATGGTCACAAGATTATCAAGCACGAAGTTTACCTATCTGTAGGAATTTTGCCATCTGCCGTTGGAGTATTTTGTCGATATTTTTAGAGGAAACATAATCTGATGTTCACCTCCTTTGTATTGTTTCTTTTCTTAATCAATATGATTGGGACTTAGGAAAGCTTGGCAGTGACACTAATTTAGGAGGATATACTTCTGTATGTGTATAACCTTTTGCCTGTGTGTGTGTGTGTATGTGTGTGTGTGAGTGTGTGTGTGATTGCATGCATGTGTGTGTGTTTCTGTGTTGTGAGGAGTAAACTGTCCTCAGAGCGGGGGTATCTAAGGTCATGTATTCCTCAGTGTGACTCAGAATTCAGATGCTTGCATGTTCATGAGCAAATGCAAATAAGGAAAGCTATGTTCAGTTTGAAGAGAAACTAAAGCAGGAGGAACAGCATGTGAATGAGGGGCTTTATATATATTGAAATTTCAGCAATAGCAATAAGACCTCATCCTTCCCCACTTTCCATGATATCCTCTCAGTCTGTTCTCTGTGAGTCATTCCCTTTTGGCATAAAAACTTCTTTTTAAACTTAAACATATGAAACAAGCACCTTTCTTAGGGTTCTTGCACTCTCTGAACCTTCTTCTGGGGACACATTATTCCCAATTTACTTTGGGGACTATACCTTGTCTAATTTGAGTTCTCTATTCAAATATCCCTTTGTCTGCTACTCTTGCCAGAAAAAAATAGCCTCCGTGATCCTATCCATGCTTTTCTTCTCAGCTTTTAATTCGTTATAGCACTTATCTTTCTAGTTTATTATATGCTTGTATTCTTTCCCCCCGGACAGATTTGAGGGTCTTTTATTTTTAAGTGCCTTATTACCATTTTCTGCATGGCCTAAGGCATAGTTAGCACCAAGTATATATTCCTTAATTGTGTGGAAAATGTGGTTATAACACTGTAGGAGAAGGGAAAAGGCTGAGGATGTATGTTCATAATTATATGGAGTATAGGAATCTAGTAAAAGGAACAATGTCCAAGATAAAATAAACAAGCAAATTCCTTGATTAAAATTTAAAATTGTGGGGCTGGAGATTTAGCTCAGTGGCACCACATCTGCCCTGCAAGCACAAGCACCTGAGTTCAAACCCCAGTACCAAAAACAATAAAAATAAAAAATAAAAATTGTGCCATTTCAACTGTATGAATGGTACCTGCCTATGTGAATGTTAGTCATTTTATTTTTCTCCTTTTTAGTAGTAATGTTCACCACATGGAGCCAAGAAATTACTCACAAATTATAGAATTTCTTCTTCTGGGATTTTCAGAGGCAACAGAACTGCAGCCCCTCGTATTTGGACTTTTCCTCTCCATGTACCTAATCACTGTAATTGGAAATCTGCTCATCATCCTGGCCATCATCTCAGACTCCCATCTGCACACACCCATGTACTTTTTCCTCTCCATCTTGTCCCTTGTAGACATCTGTTTCACCTCCACAAGCATCCCGAAAATGCTGGTGAACATTCAAATGCAGAGCAAAGCCATTAGCTACACAGGCTGCATCACTCAGATGTGCTTTTTATTGCTATTTGCAGGGTTAGATGACTTCCTTCTGGCTGTGATGGCCTATGATCGCTTCGTGGCCATTTGTCACCCCCTTAACTACACAGTCATTGTGAACACTCAGCTTTGTGTGTCGATGGTTCTGGTATCCAGTGTCATCAGTGCCCTTCATGCCTTGTTACAAGCCTTAATGGTGTTACGGCTGTCCTTTTGTACAGACTTGGAAATCCCACACTTTATCTGTGAACTTAATCAGGTGGTTCATCATGCCTGTTCTGACACCTTTCTTAATGATGTGGTGATATATTTTGCAGCTGTCTTATTGGCCATTGGTCCCCTTGCTGGCATCCTTTACTCTTACTCTAAGATAGTTTCCTCGATCCGTGCAATCTCTTCAGCTCATGGGAGGCATAAAGCATTTTCCACCTGTGCATCTCACCTCTCAGTTGTCTCTTTATTCTATTGTACTTGCATAGGTGTGTACCTTAGTTCTGCCACAGTGCACAACTCACACTCAACTGCAGCAGCCTCAGTGATGTACTTGGTAGTCACACCCATGCTGAACCCATTCATCTACAGTCTGAGGAATAAGGACATTAAGAGTGCTCTGAAAAGACTGCTTGGGAGTAAAAGTAGAAAAGAGCCAGTTGCACTAAGACTCAACAAGTGACCGTGATTGCAGGGTTCAACTTCTTGGAGTCAGGAATTGTGATTCTTTGGTCAGATTGTGGAAGTAGAACTGGCTCCTTCTTTGTATTTCCTGCAATTTCCATTTCTTTGATATCAACTTCTCTACCTATTTTAAGTAACTTACTTTTTCAGAAAAATAATTTGTCAATTAACTTCCTGGTGTATTCTATGGTGTTTTCATACCTTTAAATTATTTTTTTTCTTTTTAATTGACACCTTGCAAATGTACATAATTACGGGCACAATGTCACAATTCAACCTAGATAAAATAGGTAATGATTAAATAAAGATAATTAACTTTTCCAGCTCCTTATCATTTTTTTTCTCTTAGGACCATTCAAACTACTCTCTTCTCATTCTTCATAAAATATACAGCAGTGTTTTCAAGTACTAGGCTTTTTATTCTAAGTTTTAATAGCTTTTTTCCTTTCCACTTTCCATCTTTCCAAGTGTTTTTCCTAACATTACATCAGAAACATTTGCAAACTTCCATTTACATCATAAAACAATCTGAATATCCTTTTTCTCCCCACAGGGATCAGTGGAAAATTATTTACTTGATTGTTTATTTAGCAAGACTTCATCATTAATCTCTTAAATATACTACCAAAATTAAACTTATTCAGTGTAAATGAAGCACTCTTATATACATGGAATTCCCATGCTGTCCTGGCATACATAGCTCAAAAAAATGAAATAAAACAAAAAAGAGTAAACCTCGAATCTCTTAAGAGTAATTTCTTCTCAAGTAGCATGTGTCATACCAATGATTTTGTTTTTCAGTTTTGTCCCTCAGAAGTATCCATGAGTTTTCCTACTTCTATGAAGAAAAACCTAGGGACAATTATGAAATTTTATAATATAAGAAAATCTATGAAGGAAGATGAAAGTTGGGGAGGAAAACATAATGAGAAAAGGAATTAAAATGTGTTCTGTACATGTACCAACTCCCCATAAGAAATGTAGACATTATGTACTATAAACACATACTAAGAAAATAAAGTTTTTATATATTTAAAAAAGAAAATCTGAGGGTCTAGATTTTATTTTCTATATCATTACCTTCATTGCTACTCCTGAAATGTAGACTTCGACATTGTCATTTACTTTATATGGGCTCACTGATTTTTGTTGTCTCATGAGAATCCTATTATCTCTTAGTGAGCTTTAGGTCCTGTGCAGTCACTGGCAAACTCTTGTACTCAAATATGTGTTTCCAAGTAGAGTGTACACAAGGGACAATTTTGAACCAGTCAGTAGCTTCACTAATATGGTCTTAGAGTAAGAAATCACCCTAAACACAAAGAACCAAAGTTTCAAATCATATATTTAACATACTAAAACATTATGAAAAAGAAATCTTTTTCATGCTGTACATCTACTGGTTGAAATTTGAAAGATGGATGTCCATGTGTGAGAAGCTTATTCATTGGCATACAAATGGGATGGGATGCTAGATTTTTTTTTATAGTATTGGATTGTATTCTTATTTCTGCTTCAATACTTCTGGTGCTCTCTAGAAATACAGCTCCTTGTATTGCTCTTGTTAACCTGCAAGACAGGATAAGCAACCCTGAATATGAGAAAAAGCGTTCATTCAAGCAAAAGCGAAGACTCACATTTGGTCAGAAAGTTTTCAGAAATGTCATCTGGGAGGGCTGTTTTTATAGATTTAAAAAAGAATAAGGAAGGTCATGGCAATTTGTTGTTACAATTACATTAATCAAAAAGGATAACACAGGTTGCTTATTGGGTTTTGGTCACTTATGCTACACAATCCAGGGAGGGAATGGTGATAAGTAGAGAAAGACATTTACTAGGGTTGTTTATGATCTTTGTGGTATCAGAAATCTGCCATGCTATTGCAATAACACAGATGACTGTGTCTCATGACTCATTTTCTTCCTGGGGCAAGAGAATTGTGTGGCTGCATTATTGTCACACTTTAAATACTTTCTCACTCTCAATAATATCATGCCCTTTTCTAAACTTTGTCACAATCACTAAAGGGACCGTGAGTGATAAAATTCAGTGTCATCCATTACATGTTGCCTTTATGTCTGGGAATCAGAGTGAATGATTACTCTCTTAGGCAAAACATATTCTCATATTAATAACTTCCTTTATAAAATATACCTTAACACTCTTACATGAACAATTGTTTCTCTTATTTCTAAATGTTATAATTACACATGCTACTTACAACTTTAAACTCCTGTTAATCTTAATTTCATTAACATTTTTCTTACTAGTAGATGTTTGCAGTACATAATGATCACATTCAGCGTGGGGAGTTGGCACATGCACATAAAACATCTTAATTATTTTCACAATCTTCCCCTCCACTCCTCTCCATCCCATCCAATTTTTTGTCCCATTCACTTTTGCAAGAGATTTATCTCCCTATTCCATGTTATCTTTTATTTTGTTTTTTAATTTATTTATATTTTAGGTTTCTCATATAAGAGAAATTATATAATATTTAAACTTGTGTATCTGATTTATTTCACTTAATATTATGATCTCAAGGCACATCCATTTTCAAAATGGATCCAAGATCTCAATGATAAAATTTTGATTTCTAATGAAAACTGATAAGTATTGTGAACTGTTTTATATCACAATTTTGTACATTAATACCATTCCATAATTTTTAGAAATATATTTTCTCAGGCTTTTTTTCATGAGCAGTATCAGACCAAATATATTTAGCTTCTCTATACCACACAAGAGTAAGATGCCAAGGTATAAATATTGTATGTTCAACAATTAATATTTAGAATATTTGACTTTGAGTGCTTTTTCTATTTATGAAGGAGCTTTATGCATGCTAACCATATACTCTACCATATTAACTACACTTCCTAATATTTAAGAATTTTAACTAACATAAATGACCCCGATTTTTTATGAATACTTATTACTAGTTAAGCATAACATGGGTAAGATTTCAAGTCAGCAGATGACATTTTAGAAGCTATGACAAGTTCATTTACAAATTTTAATCTTATGTTTACCCCATTTACTCAATCTTTTTCTAAAATTTTTATTAGTATATGTTTGAGAGACATAATAAATACATTCATGGGGGTAGTTAGTACATATATCATCTTTTTTTGTGTGATTAAATTATTTTATTGGTACATTTTAGGTATACAATACTTTTACATTTATCATTGGGTGTTTGTACCTGTACATGATGTGTCTTGGTTCTTATTTTTTCCCCATTACCAGTGCACCCTTCACTCCCTCCACACTTTCTTATTTAACTAAGGAAAATTATGAGAAAAGAAAAAAAAATGGAAACATATAGCATCTTGGTGATGCCCTTTCTTGTTGTTCTCCTCTCTCTTCCTTTTCTCCCCATCACTAGATCCCCTTCCAATCTCCACAAAGTCTGTCTCCCAAAAATTATGCTTAGATTCCTCATTAATCAAAGTTAGTCATTAGAAGAGTTCAGAAATATCATCCCAAAATATATTACTATGATATATTGATTTACTCATGATAAGCACATTTGAAAATAGCAAAACCCAGGGCAAATATCTCTGAATTTCCCTTCTCAAGAAAGATCCCTCAAAAGGAACTCAATGATTATCAATTCTCTGAAAATGAACTTATCACAAGAGAGGAGGCCAGCAGTTGGCATCACACTCAGATTATCATTTGTTCTAAAGGCCCATTCATCCTTCCCTAAAATCATTTAAAGTAGCCAAATCTATAATAAATATATTTTTTAAAAACTTAAACTCTATATATTTAGAAAATAACTTTTAATGCTTTACAGTGTACCTCATTCCAGGGATATTTTCTTGAGGCTAGTGGATGACCTGGTGTCAAACTAATCCATCCATTCCATTGTCAGCTTACCCGAATACAGGAGTCCTATGTTCAAGTGGTAAGTTTTGTAATAACTCTTAAAAGGCAGATTTGTGCCCACTAGTGAAGATGTGCCTTCAGCTCTGAGATCTCCTTGAATATCTTATCCAACCATTTCCCCTACCCAAGTATGCAAGAAACAAACAAATATGAGAAAACTCCAATTCTGGAGAAATTCTGAAAGCCGTAATCACACATCTGCTGTGGTAAACTACAGCCACTATCATTCACTTGGCTTGGCTGTAATTGTAGTGTTTTCCAGAGGCCCAGAAATTACAGACTTGATACTCAGAGTGGTGCTATTGGGAACTGGGCCTGTTTTGAGGTCTTTATGTCATTGGAGGTATGCTCTCAAATGAAGCCTGGCCACATCACTCTCCTTTAATGACAAGATGTGATCACCTACTCTGAAAGTTGCTCTTACCATAATATATTACAATATTAAACCAATGCAGGAGCCTGATCTTGGACTTGAAGGTCTAAACCATGAGCTAAAATAAAACTCTCTATGCCTCATATATATCCAGTATCAGGTATTCTGTTAAAGTTATAGAAAGGTGACTAATGTAGTTACATTTTAAAAGTGGAGCTACTACCAATGACTCATCAACCACTGAAAATCTGTGAAAATGGTGTGTATAAAGGGAAGATTCTGCTGTTTTTAAAAAATATATGAATGTGGAGAATATTATGCTCAGCAGAATAAGGTAAAGCCATAAAAATGTGGTATTTACATGCAGAGTACTACTCTGCCATTAAGAAGGAAAAACTTGAGTCATATGTAGGAAAATGGATCCATCTTGAGACCATAAAATAAACCAGACACACAAGCCTAAAATCACATGGTTTGTCTTATATGAGACACCCAGAGTAAAGATAGAGTGCAAGGGCTAGGGATTTAGCTCAATGGTTCTGCCATCTGGATCACACGCACAAGGTCCCAAGTTCGATCCCCAGTACAAAAAAAAGTGCAAAATAAAAGATAGAGAATAGAAAGTAGGGAGACAGAGTTATCTCAGAGAAGGGAATCAAGAGATAGAAAATGGAGGGAAAAGGGATAAAAAGGAATTGGGATGTGTTATGCACATATACCAACTCCTCCCAGGTAATGCAAACTTTATTAACTGCTAACATGTACCAAAGAAAAATAAAACATGTGTAGATCCGCACTCCAAAAAAAGAATAAGCTAGACATAGAAATAAAAACATCACATCATCTTATATGAAAAATCTAAAAAATGTGAGCTACGTACATAGAGTAGAACTATGGTTATATGGAGAGAATGAGGTAGAAAAATGAAAAGATAGCATTCAAAAGGTATACACATATATGTAGGATGTGTAAGTCTAGATAACAAATGTATTTACATCATAAGGACTATAGTTAATCATACTATGCTATATAGTATAAATTTTCTAAAAGTGGAGTATAAGTTCTCTTACCACAGATGGACTGTACTATTTGATGTGTTGAACTTAGACTTTTTAATTTACTTTGGCCAAAATAATATTGTAGAATGTGGAGTGTCTTTCAAGGGAGTCTGGCATGTTTCTGCTTCTTTGTTTGTAAATCTGCCTCTGAATGTGAACAAGTCCAAGAGATCCTGAAGCTGGGTGAGAATACATGTGGAGGAGAGCTCAGATGACCAAACTATAGCCACTCTCCACCTTCCTGCCTTAATCAAGTTCCAAAATATGAGAAGATTAAACCAAGACTAGATAAAGCAAACAAAGGTGAGTCACCACTGAATATAGACTCATGAAAAAATCAGCAAGGACCAGAATACAATACTAATATAGACACCCAGGAGATGAGAAGCATTCTCTTAAACCATTTAATTTGGAGTCAGCTTATGTAGTAAAAACTTATACAGAAATCAAAGTCATTGAGAATAGTCTGCTGCTTCATACTTTTGGAGTTTTTTCTAATATTTGAAGATAGCACTCATGATGATCTCATATTTATTTCAGATAAGTCTGTTAAAGAGAGACTTCAATTGAGATACTTTTCTAGGTAATTGGGAGAAGTTAGAAATACATATATTTTTAAGGAATAATTTGTGAACCTGAATCACAAGTCTCCATCTACAAGGGCATGACTAGGCAAGAATTCAAGGCCTTATATTTGTCATCCTTTATCATGAGAATAGAAGAGAATTGTAAGCATAAAAGACAAACTGATAAAGAGATAAACTGATATATATGTCACTTACTCATCACCCCTTTAATATGTAGAGCAAACTTTTTAAAGGGTGAGATATTTTGCTTATGTCACTGCAAGGAGAAATATTCCTATGCAGCCGTGGAAATTCTTAAGCAGGAAGAGAAAGATGATCCAATGAAATAACAGAATGTGACTCTGAAAATTTCAGTATAGGTAAAAGGAAAAGCGGACATTACCAGAGACCCCTGCAGTTGGTCTTGGTCTCCTGAAAGTCAGTACAATGTCCACAAGATAGGAAAGCAGGAAATAGAAAAAGCACACAGACAGAGACTTGAGAGAAACTAAGTCTTGGGCTAATCTAAGCTGCTCTGGGCAGCAAAGACAAAGACACCAAGGAGGTCCAGTATTTATCCATCACAAGTGTGGGAAAGAGGGAAGCTAGGCAGGCCTTGAGACACCTGCAGAGAACAAGTATCAAGCAGGCAGGAATGTAGAATGAGGGTACAAACATATCTTTGCTGAAGAGGACAAATGTTTAATTTAGGGTAAGAATTTAGTTGGAGTCTGTTGACCTTGGCTGAGTGTCAACTCAACCAAGCTCTGCTATTTCCAATGTTACAAGGCTGAATCATGAAGAGGCAAGAAGCTTGTGGCACTGCAGCCTGCTAACCCTGGGCAGAGGTGTCTGCTACCCTTCAGTTTCATGAATAACCTCCCAGGATGTGGAATCCAAGCATCCATATCCACACTTCCATGAATATATGCACATCATCCACAATAAATCTTACATAGAAATTCAGCACATTATTGAAAACTTTGTCCCATCTATTTAAATTGATCTCTGATTCTAAGACCAGATTTTGTCAATCAGTTCATCCAAATTTGTCTTTCATGTAAATGATACATGATTTTTGCCTTGCATCAAAAAGCCAGCTGATATAGAAGGCAGTGTGGACAATAAACTGAATAAGACACGTGATGATAAATAAGCGAATACAATCTCATGACTAGACATAGAACATGCTTCTATGTTAAGATTACATTGTCTAAGGGACAAAGCAAGGAATAAATAACACAAAAGTGGAAAAACAGTGGTTTCAGATTGTTCTCTAGTATCAAGTTATATAAATGATCGCAATTGATAAGTGTAGTTTATACCATAATAATACACCTAATAATTGCATATGATAAATGGGAATAACACAATTCCTCTCATCTAAAATTTTTAATCACTTTGGAAAAGCCTGAAAATGGCAAAATGCAAAAGATTATTGGATAGCAAGGAGCAGAAAACTGTCAGGAGCAACCAAGATCAGGAGGCGTCTTGTCCACCTCCTACACCTCATAATTTCCCTCCTTTTGTGCCCCAATTTATCCTGCCAAAATAGCCTGAATTGCAAAGAAATGTTCTTTATACTCTGTTTATTATAGTCCTAGTTAACATGGTCCTAAGAACAACAAGCTGAACATCCCCATTCTCACCAGCCTTATTAGTCATCTAGTCTCAAAATGTATTAAAACAACTTACCAAGGAGACCCTGCCCCACCTCTTTGTTTATACCTTCTCTCCTTATGCCTTAAATAAAGTGCCACCCAGGCTGTGGTGTTCCTCTTTGTTTTTACTTTCTCTCCTTATGCCTTAAATAAAGTGCCACCCAGGATGTGGTGTTCTACTCCTCTTAGCAGGCAGGGAGGCCCCACCTGGTCCTGCTTTGATCCTCCTTTGTTTTCTGCATCTTCTGTCACCCTACTCAGACCTCACATGCTTGCCATGCAGGCCGTGGCAGAAAATAATTGTATATCAGAGAACAGAAAAGCACTGGATATCAGAGGGAGTTGCCTAAATTATGTAAAGTAACTAAAGTCAAAGAAATTGATACTACAGGAAATAAATAAAAGAGAAAGCCCCATTTCTGTGATCTGATTAAATAATCACAATAACTATATCTGAGGCTCTGTGTTCAATAGCATATGTTTAAAAATAGGGTTTTTATTGGTACATGATTGCAGTATATGATGATTACATTCATTGTGAGCAGTTGGTACATGTACATAATATTTCTAAATTATTTTCTACCTATTTACCCACTCTAACTTCCCTTTCCTCTCCCTCCACTTTTGTCCCCTTCCTTTTTTCCCATTCCTTTTACAAGTATCTTCTCAGAGCATTCTTGATATCTTTATTCCTCAGACTGTAGATGAAGAGGTTCAGCATGGGTGTGACCACACTGTACATCACTGACGCTGTTCCACTTGAGTGTGAGCTGTGGGATGCAGCTGAACTAAAGTACACTTCTAGCATTGTAAAATAGAATAAGGAGACAACTGAGAGATGAGATGCACAGGTAGAAAATGATTTATATCTCCCCCAAGCTGATGAGATTGCACATATGGAGGAAACTATCTTGGCATATGACTAAATAATGCCTGTAAGTGGACCACCACCCAGCAACATAGATGTAAAATACATCACCAGGTCATTAGGAAAAGTGTCAGAACAGGCAAGTTGGACCACTTGATTAAGTTCACAGAAAAAGTGTTGCATTTCTGTCTTCACAGAAGGTCAGCCTCAGCACCATTAAGCTTTGTAACAGGGCATGCAGAACACTCATGATCCAAGTTGACACAGCCATCAGACCACAGAAGCAAGGATTCATGATGGCTGTGTAATGCAGTGGGTGACAGATGACCACAAAGAGATCATAAACCATCACAGCCAGGAGGAAGTTTCCTAAGCTTGCAAAGAGTATGAAAAATTGTATCTGTGTGATGCAGCCTGCATAGCTTATGATTTTGCTCTGTGTCTGCATATTCTCCAACATCTTGGGCATGGTGGTGGAGGTGAGACACCTGTCTGCAAAGGACAGGTTGGAGAGGAAAAGGTACATGGGTGTGTGCAGATAGGAGTCTGAGATGGTGGCCAGAATGATGAGCAGGTTCCCAATAATCATGGTTAGGTACATGGAGAGGAAAAGCCAGAAGAAGACAGGTTGCAATCGAGGTTCCTCTGAAAATCCCAGAAGAAGAAATTCTGAAGTCCATGTATTGTTATTGAGTTCCATGTGGCTAATGTGAATATGAGGAGACAGAGAGAAAGGGAGAGAGAGAGGGAGAGAGAGAGA